TTATTTAAATACTTTTCTTTACAGATCGCCTGCCTGGGCATTGCAAGTGTGAATCGTCGACGCGTTGCTGGTGAGTAGATGAAATATATTCGTTATTCGTAAAAAAAAAATAAAATAAATCGTTAAATTGTGAATACTAACAACTATTATTCAATTTTAAAAAAGTAAAAGATTTACAAGTGAAATAATATTAAAAGACGGTTAGGCTTTAAATATTATTATAAAAGCAAACAAATATACAAAATTAAAAAATTTATATTTTTTTTATGTTTAACAGAGAATATACATATTCTTGTTTTACACTAAATTCAAATCAATAAAAAATGTAGATTTAAAAAAATTTTGGAGATGTCTTAAAAATAGCTTTATCTTTAGTTTTCTTGATATGAATATATATATATATTTTTTTTTTTTAATTTTGTATTTATAAGTTTTGGCTCTGGCAACAATCATTCCATTTTCCCAATGTATATATAAAATATAAAATATTTGTTTATTAATTTTTTTATTATTAAACTTTGTATACATGGCTAGCAATATTATAACTATTATTTATTTGTTGATTTATTATTTATTTAATTTTGTTTTCATTGAATATTTTTTTAAATGTTATACCTCCTTCTACCTTCCTTCTTAGGTCTTATGAGTAAGCAATTATTATGAGTAAGCAATTTCACCCTTAAATCTCCAACTTGTGTTTCCAGAAGCGTCTTCTCTCGAGCCAATCAAAATTTAAAATTTGCGCTTTTGGCTTCAATTCTTCTGGTCAGAGCTTTTAAAAGCTTTGCTACATATACAATGTATCTTATATGGGAGATTGTGGGTGTACTTAATCAATATTTGATTAGCCAGGCATCACAGCTTTTTTACTGTTCGATTATAATTTTGATAAGCCCCTTACAGCTGGCAGCCCCATGAAAGTTGGGCGCTATCAAAATTCGTCCAAAATTATTTGTTTCTCTTGTGTCAGTTACATTTGTATTCGCCTGTAGTCAATATCAACGAGTCGAACAGATATGTTGGGCTTTTTGCTAATTGCCATGCTGTTCATGTATTGCCTTGTAAGTTTGAGGAGTTTCAAATAATCAACATCTATAACTATAAAGTCATCATCCTCTTTTTTGTTAAAGGCCATAATCGTGCTAACGCGTAAGCGACGTACCAGAACATCGAGTAAGTGAACCAAAACATATCAAAAAATATGAAATCATGATCTATATAGCATGCATTCATTCATGTTTGTCTGCACACCTGTCTAGCTTAAATGAACAATTATTTCATTATGTTTATCACATTCTTGAACGATTACAATTTCGCTCGACTGATAGAGTATATACGTATACATATATATACATGATTAAAGTGTTTGTGCCTCAGTTGTATTCGTACAGAGTTCAGTATAAAATGATTGGCGCTGTAGTGATTGGCATCAGCCTTTTCGCATTCAGCTTATTCTTCTCCTGCATTGTAAGTTGGATTTGTGGAGGGTCAGCTGAGTATTCTCTGCTTATAATTTAAATATTGTATTTATAGGCCTTAAAAATGTTCCTGCGTAAGAGGATTAGACGTGGTAAGTTTTCGTCATTCTATTATTATAGGCTCGATTTAAAGTTTGTGAGAGAAACTTTTTCACACAAATAGTCGACACCTTAATACACTTTTTCATAAAAATAAATACTTCTTGTTGGGTTTTTTTTTTTTTTTTTTTTTTAAATTTTGTTTATTTTGTTTCCATCTCAAGTGTTTCTAATTGGTTCTTAATTAAAGAGTATTTTTATTTCGCATCGAAATTAACTTGATTGCGGTTTGTGTGAGCGATAAGTATTCTGATAAGGCTAAGGAATGACTGTATAAACGAATATGTCAACGCAATTGATCACATTTTTGTGTAATTAGTAATGCTCGCTCATAAAGTGAATAGAGTATATACGGTTTCGGTTTCTTTTATCTAAAAGAACACAGGGCATAAGCTTGTTTGATAAGTTCAAACTTTTACTCAAACTATACAGGTTTCCATATGTAAAATAATGGACCTACAGATCAATATATAAACTATAGATATGTATATATATGATCATAATCATGAAACATAAACAATCTTTCGATTTGAAACCTGAACGAGTATTATGCAGTCGGTCGAATTCAAGTGTGACATTTGTACTTCTATTTCTATTGATAAAGTTCCATGTATATAAACATATAAATGATATATGAAATGATATATAAATGATATACTTTCTATTCTTCTTCTTCTTTCCTCTTCTATTCGCAAAAGTCATTATTGGCTGACATTTTGTCAGTAGATTAACTTTCAAATGGGGACCCCTGTCTTTGACAGGTAAAACATGATTAGATAACCAATCGCACGAGTTAGCAGCTCTGAAATATATAAAAGTTCCATTGATAGCATTTAAATGATATTAAGCGATATACGGATAGGTAGCCAATCACAATCCGGCATTTCCCGAAAGTCCGTCATCGAAGTTTGTTGTTTTGTTTTTTTTACTGTTTATTTATTCGAGCGCCTTGCGAAATGGAACACGGATATTTGGAACTGACATACTGCGTATTGTTAATAATTGTGCTCATGATATGGGTGAGCTGACATGTGACTGTCAAAAAGGAAAGGGTATAAAGTCGAAGACCATTACTGATAAGAATCTTTGCACTTCCGAAAGGTGTTCGCTACAAGTTGTAGGCGCGGTGAGACAACGCATGAAGAAACGTCTACGCAAAGAACTAACCGCAGACCCAACCGAACAGCAGCCAGAGATACGAGAGTTAGCGGTAAGCTTTTCAGATAAAACAGATTCATATCTCAAGTGAGTCTGCGATCAGTTCAGTCTTTGTTAAGTTTGCAATACAGTTAGTCGTCCCTAAAATATCTTGTTCTTGACATAATATGGACATATTATGGAGCGTCATTTTTATTGGCTTCTTCTTTATTGTCATCTACTTCGCCTGGGTGAGCTTTCACTGTGAAAAGATGCTTCAAGTCTTCAGTCTAATATATTTTCAAATTATTATCTATAGATTGTAGATAATATTTTACACAAAATCAATGAGGAGAGAATTCGAATTGCTCAGCAACGTAATGCCGTAATGCCAGCCCCAAGTGCTCTGGGTAAGCTACCTACCTATACAAAATCAACAATAATTTTGTGCCCTGTAAATGTGACTTTGGGGTATATTGACTTTGTAAAAAATATAGGAAATTGACAGAGCAAGGCGTGACGGGTAGAGTCAATGAAGTCTATATGTTTGCCTATTTTGAATATATATGAGCAGTCGCAGACCTCAGGGTATCCCCAAGTGTTGCACCGTCTCTTTGTGGCCTTTATTTCTGTTAGTTGTTTATTAATGTTGATAGCTGCATAATACTTAGTCAGCACTATTTACATTGACCTGTTAGAGTTTTAATCATTGAGCTTTTTTCTGTTAAATATTTCGCATCACGGGCTTCAAGCAAGCGCACATGGATTAGATTAGATAGTAAAGCTTTTGACTTGTGATGTGTGTGCGATACATATTTGATATGAGCTTAAGAACAGTCATATAAATATATATATATATATGTATTTGTGTACTCGTACATATACATGTTTTATGTGAAAGTAAACAATGCAATCTGCGGGCATCAGTCGTTGGTTGTTTGCCCATGGGAAAAATGAATCGAACACGTTCCTATTGGGAGCTACTGCCTTCTTTTCTAATTGGATCTATTGCGATTGTGTGGGTGAGCTTTACAGTTGTTTAAATACAAATTTGATTTATGAATACATTAGCATTAGACAATTGGACGACTTATATGGTAAGCTCTATGGAGATAAAATGTGATAATCAGTTATTAGCTAAATATAGAGGAGAACTTGAGTAAACTGTAGTAAAGCAGCAAAGCTCGAAGTACAGCCCTTATCTGCTTCTGTTTAATCATCATCAGTGCCATTCGTATCTAGATAGCAACCTAGTTTCATCCTCATTCATTTGCTGTCCAGTTGTCAGCTCAGTTAGCTCGCATTCAAATGGATATTATGGAATGGTATTACGCTATATCATTTTTGCTAATACTCCTTATACTCTTGCGGGTGAGTTGTGTAGTATATGGAAAGATACATATATCCTTTATAGTCAAGCATTTCCCGTTTCTCTTTAGACATATTTGGGTCCATTTCGGCATTGGAGCTCCTGCAGTCAAGTTCGAACGGAGCAGGGTGAGTTCCTTACAAAAGGCTAAGCAGCCTGGGGCTTAGATATCAGATTACATTTTATAAACTTTGCAATTAGCATAAGCTGTCAAAATTAAAGCAGATACATTTCAAATGTACACGGAATTTTGGTTCTGTGGCATTCTTATTGGGATCGCGGTCACGTTAATCTTACGGGTAAGCCGTCTCTAGCTCGATATGTGTCGAGTCCGTCAGTTCACTCAATTCCCCTCAACTCTCCGAAGGAGTGCTATCTATTTGTAAAACTGAAATTGGAGGCATGGAATAGACGGGTCTTGATGCGCCGTGAAGTAATGTTGCGGCTGGCAATCGAGGGTAAGATTCGACCATAGATCAAAATCACTCTAGATCCCTCCCCTTCCCCCTTTCCACTCATGAGTGGACGAGCTGGGAAAGCTTCAGCACAGCTCGAAACGCAGTAAAAAGCTTGTCAATTGATTAGATAACAATCCTTACCATTAAATGATATGTTCCTCGAGTGCTGCTAAACTCATTCAGCTAATTTCTAAGTTTTCTAAGCTCTGTCAGTGTTCGCACTTCGAACCGTTTGGCACGGGCAATGAATCCGATCGATTTTGTTTATATCCTGCTACTATTTCTCTTGGTGGCTATTGTAAGTGTGTAGAGTATATGCGAATTCCACTTCAATGTTCTTCAAGTTCTCTCTCTGCTCGATAGTTGTCCTTTAAGAGCCGACAATATGGGAATTTTGAGGACACAGAGAGCACGTTTGACCGATCTAGACGGGCCTCCAGCCTAACGGGTGCGTACTAGCCCAATACTTTAAATGTCATATCATATCATCATATAGCATTCAACTGATAATATGCTGCCGCTCAGATATGATACTAATATACATATATATGTGTGTCTATATTTATATATTTTTATTGATATATATTTATATATATACATAATTAATCACGCTCCACCATTTGAAATGTTGATAAGGCGCAAGTTCTATTTATCGTGACTGGCTCTAGACACTTTACCATTATAGAACAGTTACTTGTTCCGTGTCGAACATAAATCGTCGTCGATTTAGTTTAAGCTCTCAGTCATGGCCGTCGATGTCGCCCTATATCTTGTTTATTTTATTTCACTTGTCATTTTGCTGATTCTCTTGCGCGTAAGTTGTGGAGTTCCCTTCAGTCCCCTTCATACCTTCAGTGTGTTCACCTTTCGCCTCTTGCAGTTGTGCCTTATGTGTGCTAGGCGTAAGCCAGTTGTCACACCGCCACCGCCCGTGAATGGGCGTGGCCCGCCACGTGTGCTCAGACAAATACGCATCGATCCATCCGGCACGGCGACCGATATTACCGCAGGTGAGCTGCCGCAAAAATTTACAATGAGTTGAGTCGAGTTAGAAAGGCCTTATCTATAAGGCGGCTATTTCTGTACCCTCATAATTATAATTATAACCATTTATCGCAATACGATTACCATTTATACCCCCCATACACGCGAGCATCGCAACTTGTTTTGATGATGTTGCGTTTCTTGTGCCAAAAGGAGCTTTTCAAGTGCGTCTTTCCTATTCCTGACTTTCTCTCAGGTTTGATAACAGTCAAACAAATGATAAGCCGAGATAAAAATTCTGACTATCAACAGAGAATGACGTCAAATATCAACTATTAAATCTCTTAGATTTAATTGATAAGGCAGAGCGAATAACTTAAGCAGGAATTTCGCAATAGAATTGTTTTTTTTTTTTTTTTATCAATTTGATAGAGCTGTTTGATAAAAATTTGTATAGATAATTAGTATTTTTATATTAAAAAGAGTTTTCTCTCTTTCTCTCTCTAATCCAAATAAATCTAATTGACTTTGAAATTCCAATTGGTAATCGATTATAGTAAAATGTAGCTAAAATAGTAGTGGTTAGCTTTTTAAATAGTGTTTGAATTAACAGCAACAGCACTGACCTGGCTTAAACTTAAATTTGTTATTGATGTATTAGAATATTCAAATGATAGTATAAAAACCAACTATTTAATATGTATTAACTGAACTATACTTTTTCAAAGGTTTTCGACGTGGTGAATTCCAATCCCGAGCCAGAAGAGCTATATCAGGAAACAGTTTAATCTAGTAGTATAGAGTTGGACTTCTCTGCAGTCTTCTCAGTTTCTTTAATGTTAATATAAATAGGTGGAACAGTTACTCAATAGATTCATTAAGCAAATTGAAAGTACAACAGAATGTTCTCTTCAAAGTAATCCCAAATATACTTTTCAAGCTATGCTTAAATATATCTCTCATTGAAATGTGAAATTTATTCTTATATTCAAATGTATTAAGCATTCTTGACTGTACGATACTATGTTTAGAAAAGTTAACAGTTAAATGTATTTTTTCAAATACTCTTGATAGAACCGCTTAAGGTATTTTTTTAATGTAGCTTTAAATGACTCTTGACTATACCCAAATTTTCTTTTTAAGGATTATTCAGTATACTCTTCAAAATATACCCTTTAAGGTATTCTTGAATATGCGCTCCACTCTACATAATGTACACTAAAATATATTTATATAGCTAGACTTATATGTAAAATTTACTTTTCAATGTACATTTTGAGCTACGTTTAATGTACCCTTTCGCTCAGGTCGAACATAGTATACTATATTAGCAATATCTGGCCATTATAAATTTATAAAAAAAAAGATTAAGACTCCCGTCTCAATTTCCGGTTGTGATAGGCAATAATCGCTCATTCTGCTTCGCGTTCGTTCAGTGTGAAGCTTCATCGATAAATTAAGTTAAAACATATAGTATTTCCTAGGTGAGCAGCTGTCGCTCTGTTCTGCACCTTTGACATTGAAATCTTACGAATTCCCCACGACATTTAAATTTTGTGGAGCATGTGAAAAATGTTGGTAGTGAAATAATGGAATATAATTGCTTTACGCTGCCCGCTTAAGTGGCTTGTCCGTAATAGATTTATTACAGTGTTTTTGGTTTTTTTTTTTGTTTTAGTTGCTGCTTTGTTTATGCTTGTGTAATAATTAATTAGCTTGTGTCTCACACAATATAAATTCACACACACACATAAACACACACTGAATTAATTTACAATTGTTTGAATGCTTCCGCGCTTGGCGGGATTTCAACTTTGTCAAAATTTATGAACGTCCATATTTGTGATGTATTCTTAGACATTTAACCGTCTGCAACTGCGAGTGCACGAAGCTCCATGCAATGATGCAAATCTTATCTAATCAGAGTGAACCAGACTCTTATCAGACACTGCGGAACCCTCAACTGGAAGCACAACCTATATATTTGCCACCTGCCTTGGAATAGTGGCACTCTCTCTCTCTCTCTCGCTCTCTCACTCTCACTCTCATTCTTGTTCTCTCTTTGTGGGTGTATAGGAGCTGATAAGATGCTCCAAAGAATCGCAGAGCATGAAAATACAAACAGTTTGCCAACGGCGTCTGCGTGAACCGATGTGATTGAGTCCATAAAAGTTGTTCCATTTTGGCAATTTTAAAATTTAACGCTAAAATGTTGGATTTACTGTCCATATTCTCGGGCGTATTCATACTCTTTCTCTGCTGTGCCATTTGCTGCTGCTGCCTGCGCTTCGCCGTTTGGGCCTGCTACGAACTGTGGCAGACACGCACAGGTATGTGCAAGATTGTACATGAATATATGTAAGCTATATACTGGATTTTAGAGGATCTTACTGGTTTTCGACTTTCTTTATATACATTCAATTGGCTAATCTAATCATCGTTTATTACCTCTGACTCTGATAAGCTCAGTGCCAAACTTAAATATACAAACTTTCATGAAGTCATTAAATGACTGTTGGCCCAATTCGAAAAGTTAACTGAATGTTATTGAACTGTCGCGTTTAGGTTATCACTGTTAACTTGATTTGGGCAGACAGTTTCAGTGCTCTCTGAGTTTTCAAACCCAACGGATTAGAATACGTCAAACTATAATCATGAACGATATATTTACGTTCTACTTTTTTCTATTCTTCATAATGGTTGTCGTACTGCCCACGATCTATGTTTGTATACAGGTAAAAGTCAAAGGCCCGAAACTGTTTGCTTCGCCTATTATTATCTCTAAAAGTGTTCTACATTCATCTTAAAGTATGTGATGTGGAAACTATTATTCTCCTGCAGTTCCACTCGAACCGAATCGCCGCGCAATAATCGGGATATTCAGCTGAGCTCCTTTGGTATGTACAAGAATACCTATCCAGTGCGAACTACTTACACGATTTCATATAGTACGGAATGTGTATATGTATGCATGTATGTATATTATGCGCGGCTTGAAGTGTCTCTGATAAGACTCTCAGTTAGCCCTGTTTACGGCATATAGCCATTTCAAAAATCAGCTTTTATGTCTTTATTTATTATTCTTTTATTTCTTTGGTTTGATAAGCATGCTTGCTTCAGTCTACATCTGAACTTGCTGCAATATGGAAGTGGGTCCAGTTTTCTATTTCGTAGTACTTTTGCTAGTTGGCTTTCTATCCTATGCGCTGCTGCAGGTAAAACGTCGTGGAAAAAGTCGCTATAAATTTAAAGTCGCCTTAAAGTCGCCTTAAAGTCGCTTTAAATTAAAGCTTTACATTTGATTCTTTCGTTTCTCGGTTAGTGTACGATTATCTGGATTATCAGATGCTGTTGTCCTGCGGGGAATCAAAATAGCAACAGAAGACGAAGTAGTAAGTTCGTGTGTGTGTGTGTGTGTGAGAGAGAGAGAGAGAGAGTTGGCTCTAGTAAGCTTTACCTATGTGGTATTTTAAGCTTTTGCAGCATAGGTGAGCTAATTCTTACATGTGACCGCCAAAACATATATACATATACACATATTCACACACATATGCATATATTGCATATGTATATACGTCTAGTTTAGCAACTTCGTTTATCGTATTGCGTGCGGCTGTATACACATAATCTTATCACTAAAAACGAAACAAATACCAACGTATACAACTATGTATATAAACATATATATACACACTTACACACATACACATGTACGTACGCAATTTCGTATATAATATAATACATAGCCTACTAGTTGGGTATATAGGCACTATGATTAGTGTCCAACGTATCGTTGCCTGCGGCGGGCGTGCAAAAAATTATGTACCTTCTCTGAGACCGGGTCTCAATTGAAATCCACCTTCAAGATCAATTCGCTTATGGATTGGGGCGCTGAACTGGGCCTGCATGTGGCCATTTATTTGGGCTTAGTTTTCCTGTTCTTCGGCGTAGTGCCCGTCGTTTGCTTTTATGTGCGCATCGAGAACCGAACTCTGGCAAAGATTTGTCCGCCGCGCTGCCAACGCCAGCCCAGGCGAATCAATCGCAATCGCAGTGGTAACGTGTGCCAAAATATGAGGGCGGGGTTTATCTAATCGCTGGTTTTTGAACACCTAGCACCATTTGAGTTTGCTGCTTGCTTTATTATTATTTTGCTAGACAATTGACTTTTTTATTACTTTATTATAATGTATATATAAAGGAGTTTTTTTTTTTTTTTTGGCAATAACAATTGAGACGTAACATGACTCTGACGTCGTATTTGGCTTTGGTATTCGGTTTCCTGATTGCCTTATTCGTAATAAGCCAGTCAATCTATGTAATTATCGTGCAGATCATCGATCGACGAATCAAATTATCTTAAAAGTTTATCTCTTTCATTAGCTGGCTATGCGCATTCATCAATCCGTCTTGTTGAACCGCCAGAGACAACGTCAACGTCAAAGGCTTGGTACTTGCGTCGACTGTCTATATCACGATTTGATCTGAGATATTGCTAACATATGTCTTTTAATTATATGCTTATCTTGCAGATCGCCAGAACACTGTGGAGCTTGGACGTCAGCACAGTCGTTACGGTGATATTTTTTACATTGAACCAAACAGCCAGGAGGCCGCACGCATACAGGAGCAGCTGGAGAAGGATGAGAAGGATTTGCCCAGCTATGAAGAGGTCATGCGTATGTGCAATCTGACTACTCCCACGGCAGCTGCTGCAGCACTAACGCAACCGCCCATGATGGAAACGAGTGCCATTGGCATTGCTGCATTGCCTGCTCCACCATATTCGGAGATCGATCCGCACCGAAGCGTTGCGGCGCCACCTCCTTCAATTGCCACTGTTACAACTGTCAACATGTCAGAGCCCTCACCCTCTACCTCGCGTGCTGCACAAATTACCACGTAGCAATAGCCCCAGTGATCTAATGCAGACCAACATATCCCCAACTCCCACGCACACACAAACAAACAGACACGCAGAGACCCAGGACAAACAGTGTGAACCTGTCGCTGCAGCATTCCAGTGCCACTCTGGGCCGCACAAATCTCCGAATTTGTGTGCGATCCCCAATTGAGAAATAAAAGTGTGATTTTTAAATTATAAATATATACATATATATTTAGGTATTAAAGCGTAGATCTTCGATAATTGTAAATATTTGTACATATTTATAAATTTAAGGCGCAATAATTAATTAAGCAAATTAATACAACTGGTTAAATAAAATGTACTCTACATTATTTTAAATTTTTATTATGTATCTAAAAAACGAATTATTTATATTTATTAAAAGTACGATTTGTTATTCTGCAAATTCTATTAAAAATTTTTACTAGAACTTTCTTAAAACAAAATTTCTGTGACTTTTATTTATACGTTTTATGTTTACAGATTAACTAGTTCATTTCTTTTTCAAATAATGACACACTGACTCTTTTATTTAAATATCGATATAAAAATATATCGCACATCGACAACCGGCAATTGAGAATATCGATTCGAGCTATCGAGTCTTGTATATTTGTATATTTATCGACACCTTATCAAACATTATTTGTGTTTTTTTGACCAACTGCTTATAAGCAACGTAATGGACTCAACGAAGGTAAGAAAATAGTTAATTAAATAATTTTAAGCACATACTAACTGTGACATACAGATTGAGTTTGCAGTGCAAATGGATAAAGATGTTAAATCGTGTGCGGATAAGCTGCGGCGTGCTTTGCAGGGCATAGGTCATGTCGACATTGATGCGACCGAGGGACGTGTGATTGTGCAGACCACAGCACCGTGGTCCGAAGTACAGGATAAAATCGAAAGCACCGGTCGACGCGCTGTACTCTCCGGCTTTGGTGGCCAATCAGCGGTGGCACTCATCAACACAACTGGCTGTGTAGTGGACCGAACACCTGTGCAGGGCGCAGTGCGATTCACCACAATTACTGACAAACATGCAGGCGTAGTTGTGGACGGCGTTGTGGATGGACTGGAGCCTGGGCTACATGGCTTCCACATACACGAAAGTGGCGATGTGTCGAATGGCTGTGCATCGGTTGGCAATCATTACAATCCACGTAATTCTCCGCACGGCAGCCCCAATGCAGATGCAGCTGAACGACATGCCGGTGATTTGGGAAATATACGAGCCGATGAAACGGGTCGCGCTACATTCCGCTTTGTAGATCCAGCCCTGGATATTTGGGAGATTATCGGACGTGCTATTGTCATCACAGCCAATGCCGATGATTTGGGTTGCGGCAGCAATCCACAAAGTCGCATCGATGGCAATTCAGGTGAAAGGCAAGTTTTACAAATATATATATATTTTTTTTTAAACTGGTTATAATGGTGTCGTTCTTTTAGAATCGCCTGTGGAATAATTGCACGATCGGCTGGCATTTTGCAAAACTTTAAACGAATCTGTGCCTGTGATGGAGTAACGCTTTGGGATGAACGAAACAAGCCGCTGGCGGGCAAAGGGCGTGCCACAAAACTGTGAAATTGTAACATTGTCTGGGATGATTGTAAATATATAGATAAATTTTAATACTAAATATGCATATGACAAAAATCTAACAATTAATAATATCATTTTGCTTTCTGGCAAGTTTTAAACGTGCTAAATGGGTCTTGCACTTGGTTTTATAGGACTGCACCAGTTTGCCACCAGGAGAAATGGCAATTGCTGCATGAATCTGAAAGAATAATTTATTACAATTCAAATATATAAAAATATTTTACTTAATGCTTACCTCTACATAATCAATTTCTTGTTCGTAATGTATGGAATCCTCTAGCATATTTAAAACCACCTTAAACTGTTCAGTGCTTAGCACATAGGACATTTCGCCTATATTTTGCTTATACCACTTAGCATAATTATCCAAATTTTGTTGTATATTCATTGTGTTCGCTGCAGCAGCTCGCGCCGTGAGTAGTAAATGCAATAAGGTAAGCTGACAGCGAAATGTAGCCGCATGTAGCAGACGATTCTTGAGGTATTCTACGCGCAGATAATAAGTATTAGCTATTCAATATACATATATTTATATGCATAAGCAATTAAATATACTATACTTTTAATAAATGCTGCCGTGTCTGCATTAGCGCCGCTGGCTATGGACTGCACCAAAATTATATAGAATTTCCAATACTTAAAACTGGTTGACGTAGATACTTTAAATAGATGACTTAGTGCTTGCTCCTGATGTCTGCCAAGAAGCTAAAATGAAATTTCATTATTAATTCTTAAATTGTTCTATATATTTCTCATATATTTACTGTATCTGCGAGACGTTTGATGAAGATTAATTCATCGACTCCCTCATTAATCCAGGCGCTCAAATGCTTAAATGCCAGGCTAATATCGGCAGCCACATGCAACTCCAATAGACAGTTCAAATGCATTTGTATGCATACATTTAATAATACATCATCTATGAAAAGAGATAAGCATAAGAATAATAATAATAATAGAAAATGTTAAATTAATTTCAAAATCTTCTACCAGGCAAAGATTTACACAGCGGCGCAATATAGCTCAAATCGCTGATTTTAGGATTAACAGCCAGAGCGGTAAAGAGATTTCTTAAAGAATTTTCGAGTATATTATTCAGTCTCAGCATTTTTACAGAATCTGCAAATTAAACACAATTAAATTATTATATAATTTCCATAAATTATTTGCTTTACCATAATGAGCCGAAATAAAAAGATTTATTAGCAACTCATTTTCATTTTGCAGGAACTCTATTAATATCAATTGTAGCTGCTCATCGTTCTCAATACTGTGAATAAATAGCACCGATATATATGTATGTATAAGTTTTATATGGCTATATATCAAATATTTACCTGCATATATATTCTGTGGCAGTCAGAATTCTTAGTTTTTGCAACTGTCGCAGCACTCGAAAGCTACCAACACTTAAAGGCAATTGACAAAAGTATTTTGATAACAAGAGCTGCTTTGTGATAAACATTGTTTCAATAAATAAAATTCAGTTTCATTTGATATTTCCAGCGCACCTTTTCCTTTGCGTTTAGACTCTTGAGCAGATCGACAAGATCCTCGGTGGCACGTTTGCTCGTCTGTGCACTGTCGCATTGTTTCCGTAGCAGCTTTAAATATGATATAATAATATAATATAAATATGTTTATGTATAAAATAAAATAAAAATAGGTAAACTTACCCGGCAAGTAAATCCAAAACTGTTGCTAACATTTAGATTCATTTAATTTATAGTTTTGTATTTTTGTTTTGCCGCAAAAAGCAAGCAAGCAAGAAACAGTGTGTACATAAGATTCATATAAATAAATACTAAAAAATCATCTGCAGTATAGTAGCCCTGTTAATGTATATTTTTTAAATTTAACGTAAATTTAGTTAATTATAAATCTACTAACGATTTAATGGGCTAATTTATGTTAGATGTACATATTTACTCCGAATGGAAAATCAGTTGAAGGTACAGGTTTAATAATCAACATAGAGAAGAATATATATGTATATATTAATGCGAAAAGCTATGTATGATAGTTAAATATTTTGTTCAATTAATTTCATTTCATTCACGCGAATCAGCGAGTCAAAGCAGAGAGCGCAAGGATTCTGAAGACAAAGCGTGTAACGAAGCAAAACATTACGCCGCAAATGCCGGAAGCTCGAAGCACGCATGCGCTGTGCTGGCCAAAAATCCACAAAAGCTCGAGAGCCAGGATAATAAAAAGCTCGTATGCGTACAAAACTTTCCACAGTCTGTGACAGGATTCAAGTGAGTTGAAACATTCGACAAAAAAGAAATAGAGAAGAATAAAAAACTTTAAAGTGCGCAGCATTCAACTAAAATGTGAATGTCATTATAATTGTTTATAAACTTGAAACATGCTATACAAATTGTTAATTGTCTAGCAGATCTAAATATAGCTAGTCAATTGTCAGACGAAGGGCAGTTTCCGTTTGACACCCACGTAGGAACCGAGGGTAAGTACATCAATTTGCAGAACAATTGCATTCACTTCAAGGTTGGGTCATATGTGTATGTGTGTGTGTATGTTTCTTTCTGTGTTTGTGTATGTCTGGCTGTGTGTGCTTTTCGATTTTTCCTACCGCTCTCGAAGTCCAAGACAATTGAAAGAACCCACGGGATCCAAAACACAACTATGAATTGTACTTGAATGATGCAAGGCTGCAGACATGATACAGATATATATATATATATAGATGTGTATATATGTATATTTATATAGTATACCTATATACATACATATATCAGCAAATTAATGGCAATGGGTCCATGACTACGCCTCTGGCTAATTCATGGCCATTCACTTTGCTGTTTACTCAATTAGATATCAGTTTTCTGGGCAACAGCAAGACGCACTCCGCTCCATCTCGCCCCGCCACGCCCCATCCACACACACTAGAATTATTTGTTTGCTCGGTGTTAATTTCGCCTTCAATATGTGTGCTGCCACGACGAAATCCTCCTTCTGTATGACGCCATGCCAACAAAAAACAAAAAAAAAATCCAATGACCAAAAGGAAATAGTAAAAAATAGAAACGTTCCATCATCGTTCGACTCTCGCCCGTCCACGCAGGACACTTGTTTGCCTATTTGCCTAATGAAGCCGCATGTTGTCCAAAGACAATTCGTGTTTGCATATCATTATCCTGGCCAGTCTTCAGTGGGCCAGTCCTTTATTTGCGTTCTTGACTTGAATGCTGTCGCATTTAATTCCTTTAATAAAAAATATGCCATCAATTTGATTGCATGCAACAGTTGCGTTGCGTTTGCCCGCTTTTATTTTTATGGCTTAAAATATCATTTTGATTTTATGGTCTGTGCTTATGTGCTTTCAGCCAACTTATGATTCTCATCTCATCTCTAGAGTTTATATTTATGAATATTGCAATTTACCTGGCGTCCAAGCAAGCAGAAGAGTTTCAGCAAAGAATTTTTCGTTCCTCCAGTTTCTATAGATATCAATGCCCCATCATTGACATTGACAGCACACCTCAAAATTCAAACATTTCCGTTTCAATGGACATTCATCGAAAATGTAGTTTAGAGTTTAGTTTGACATGTATGAGCGCATGTATCTTTTATTAGGCTGTCAAATGCAACGAAAATTGAAACTGTGACCCAGTTTAAAAGGTATTAATAGATTATGCCACGCGGAGTGCCAGAGCGAGACGGAGATAGAGCGATGGAGAGATGTTAAGTCAAAGCCGAAAATCGTTGCAATTCAAAGTTGTATATGCCACACAAATACACTTACATACACAGACATGGACACATTGACTAAATGGAAAACTAATATAGTTAGTATTAAAAACTCAGAACAAGACGTTAACTGACAGATATCATCATTCATATAGCTTGTAACTGTACCAATTAATGTATTAGTCTCAGTTCAGGCTCAACTTCAACGTTGGCTTAGATTAATGCCAAATCAGGCAACTGAATATAGCTTAAATATAGCTATTATTCTAAATATTATATTCTACAGCATCTCGCTAATTGATACCAATTGACTTTGGATGATCAATAGAGCGAGCTGGTTTCCAGTGACTTCTATATATCCTTGTTTCAGTCATAGCAAGGATATTGTCCGATTAAGCCAGTCAAGTAGGTCAAAATGTGAACGGAAATATGAATAATATTTCCTTCACTAATCCGACCTGAATGCTCAGGCGTTTCCTCAAGATCTACCAGTTGACCCACAAATCATTGGTTATGTATGCCATGCGAAAAGAGGATTACATACATATCAGGTGTAGCCTCTCTCTCAATCTGCTGAAAAATACAAGTACCAGGCGAACAGAAATGACCAGCAGCATGTCAAATTTTAGTTTACATTAAGTTGACCTTGAGTTAAGAGTGAAATGTTAGCTAACATAAAAAATCACATTGCATACTTTTAGGCATGCTCGATTAAAAAATAACATGACACTGTAAACTTAAAGAGGAGTTATCTTGCTACTCATTTCTCTTCGCCTGATACGGCATCTTTGTTTCCAGCTGGAATATGCTGCAGCAGCAACGTTTCCGCTGTAGCCATCCCAATCTGTTAAATAACATCGTGGATATAGCCTCAAAAAGAAGCTGCATTTCCCTAAAGTACCAGGCGAACAGAAATGACCAGCAGCATGATAAATTTTAGTTTACATTAATTTTACCTTGAGTTAAGAGTGAAATGTTAGTTAACAGAAAAATTAGATTGCATACTTTTAGGCATGCTCGATTAAAAAATAACATGACACTGTAAACTTAAAGAGGAGTCATCTTGCTACTCATTTCTCTTCGCCTGATACGGCATCTTTGTTTCCAGCTGGAATAAGCTGCAGCAGCAACGTTTCCGCTGTAGCCATCCCAATATGTTAAATAACATCGTGGCCATAGCCTCAAAGAGAAGCTGTATTTCCCTAAAGTAACAGGCGAACAGAAATAACCAGCAGCATGATAAATTTTAGTTTACATTAATTTGACCTTGAGTTAAGAGTGAAATGTTAACTAACAGTGAATATTATATTGCATACTTTTAGGCATGTTTAGTTAAAAATCTCAAATGAAACTGTTAATTTATAGTGGAGTCATCTTACTACTCATTTCTCTTCGCCTGATACTTTTAAAGAAGAAAAGCCTCAACCAAAGCCTCACGTGGCAAGTGCGGACGTTGAGAATTCATAATTTAACGCTTTTTCAAATGTACCAGTAATGACCAATATTAATTAGTTGACATTAAGTTAACATTGGAATTTACTGTGTCATGTATATGTAAATTTTATTCATGCCCAAATTTAAACTAACATCACCCTGTAACTGATTTCTGCTCGTCTGGTACTTCCCGAGAGCCGATGCAACGTATTTATTCAAATTTGAATTTTAGGCTGTGAAATAAAAACACAATTTTTAGCATTTCAATTCGTTTCTTTTATTGAAGCTAAAATTTAAAAACATTGTTTCTTATGGAGCAAAATAAATTATATAAATATGCATATACATATATCATAATACTAAATCTTAATATTAAACAGCTCCTGTATGCCTCTATATACTATATATCGCGAATCTGAAAGAGATAGAAATATATTTATTAGAATATTATAAATTTAATGAACATTTATTGGATTACATACCCATTCTCCTTATCAACGGCAAGTCTCTGCAATCACCTGCAAAATTTACCTGCAATCAAGAAAGTGTTAAATAAATATGTTTGGTTGATCAGCAGCAATATTTTGGCTTATGTCAATAGGCTTTCGATTGGTTTATTGAACGCAAATATGAATTTTTTGCGAACAAATAAATTGACTGGTGTATACACAGCATAGGCACACATGTGTATTTGTATGCATATATACACATACATATACATTGAATTCCGGGTACCCCTTTATGCTGCAGCTAAGCTTAAGCTGAGCTGCGTGGCGAGAGCCTCAGGCGAAAGGAAGGAACAAGCGAGCGACCAATTTGCAACTTACCGCAAAGGAAATGAGTTTCTTCTTTCTACTGGGTGGCAATAAGCATAATAATAACCAGGTACATGTAGAGCAGGTACATGTACAGCAGCAGCAGCAGCAACAATAGCAGCAACAGAAGCAGCAGCTTCATGCTGAACGCTCAAAGCGTTAAGTGGCTTTTGTGTAATCTGCATGACAATAAGGCATATGCCACGTGCTGAGCGCGTTCGCCGAGTGGGCTGTGCTGCTCGCCTTTTTAGCCAGAGCGCGTGCCACATTTTGGGCCAACAACTTGTCGGCCAAACTAAAAATTTATAAACACATACAACAGTTGGCGCTCAAGGACATGTTAGGTGCGCTGTTTAAAGCCCCACAACGCGGGCAATTAATAAGCACTGGCATAACATGTGCTAGTTGCATGGGGCGTATACGCAATGTTGGCTGTGACACGTGCCGCATATAATGAGCAGCAACTGGCACGTGTGCCACATGTGTATTTGTATCTGTCTGCGTGTGCATGTGTGTGTGGGTGAGGTGTTTGCCTGCCTATCAGAGGAATTCGCATTAATCATTTTGACAGCCAGCCTACAAAAATGCATTAAATATCGCAAAAAAAAAAGAAAACAAATTCGTAATATTAATTGATTAATTAAAAGAGCTCTGCTCACAATTAATTAAAATAGTGTAAATATGTTTGTTAATAAATATTGATATATAAATATACTTACATTTCATTAATTACTTGCAGCACTTGATTGGGTCAGTTCTGTTCTGTTCGCATTGCAGGTAAAACTCTATAAAAAAAAGAAAATAAATTAATTTAATTTTTTATTTATATAAATTTGCATGCCACTCAAAACTATACATCAAAGTAAAATTGAATAATTTACGATTATAAATAATTATAGCTATAAGCTGTGATATTTTGTGTTAATTTGTGATTGATGTGGTAACTATTGTAACTCTCAACTTAAACTATTGCCCTTTATAAACACACGTCCCTTGTATCTATCTATCTCTCTCTATCTCTCTTTCTCTTTCTTCCTGTCTGTGCCTTCATTTTCTTTGCATCAGTATTGCTCAACTTAATAAAAAAAAACAAATTAAAAAAGCCCACTGGCCCAATGCGCATTTAAACCGTTAACGAACACAAATTCTAATTGGAGTACTCGGAGTTAGAAACTGATAAGAAAAAGCCAGGATATGGCGCCATTTAAGCTGAAGTTTCGCATGGGCAGCTCGCGGAGCACGAACACATCGCAAGAACACGATCCGGATCCGACCGTGAATGAGGCACTTCTTGGCACACAGCAGCAGGAGCAGGAACAACAACAGCAGCAGCAACAGCAACAACAGCAGCAGCAGCAACAACAACAACAGGCTGTTGGTGCAAGCAGTTCCACCATTGATTCAGTGGATTGCAACAGTCTTGGTTCAATGAGCGAACGGAAGCTGCTGTTGCCATCAAATTCAAATAAAGCTGTCAATAATACCAACAGTATGCGTATGGGTAAGAATAGGCTAAAAAATACCACAAACTATAGCCGCTCAATCTTTAAATAATCGCATTATTCCCACACATACACTGATTATGCCCCACTTTTAAATGTGATTTTGAAGCATGACAGCACTATTTTTTTAATGGCTCATGTTTGCATTGAGGCGTTTATTATTTGCCCAACAATTGTTGCCCGAACAATTTGAAATTTCTTATTGTTTTCAAATGCACAATGCATGGCGCATTGATGTTTCAATGCAACAACAATAAGCCCTGCACACACTCAAAGTATTATTTTTAGAAAAGATTTCTTCCATTTCGTACAAGTGAAAAAATAATTACAATTGTGCTTTATTGTGGAGAAAATTCTTTCGGCATTGGCGTTAATTACTGTTTTTTTAATTTAGCTCCTTTCAAATTCAGGGCTGCAATAAAAATAAATATGTACACAATTTAAGCCAGCACTAGTTACAGATCTTGGGTTTTCCTACATTAAAAAGAACTATTTGAAGTGAATTTTAATTTGATTTCTGATTTGGTTCATTGCAAGGAACAAATTTAAATTTTAAACTGGAACCAATTTGGTTAAAACGCCACTTGCAGCCTTCTGTAGAATAGAAAATGGTAATTGACTGATTTATTTATATTATCAACTCACATATCTGATTATTTATTAAAGACTAAGCCCTTGACACGACGTTCACCTCTTTCAAGGCATCGAATATTTAGTTTGAGTGTATGCAGAGCTCGAAATTAGCATGACATCCCTCTACCGCTTAACCCAACCACAGCAGCAAAATCAATAATAAATTTATGCAATTTGTATGCTGAAGTTTTCTAAGCCCTCTTTCGATTATCTTGCAGGCTATGTCAACCCGAGTCGCACATCGTGCATCAGCGCAGCAACAACGGCAGCGGATAGTAACAACGTGCCTACCACCCCGCCGCCCACTTATGAGTATGTCCTAGAGGAGGTAAGTAGAAATGGAAATAGCAGAAGAGAAACTGATTAGGTTTAACACACACATATACATATGTATATATACAAATGCAGAACACAAGGCTCTCGCAGCACCAGAGGCAGCTGTCGTCGGACAACAGTGCCACGCCCAATCAGAACAGTCGACGTAGCTCGGCGAATAGCTCGAGGCAGAGCGCTGCTCAGTTGAGCACCGCCCTGGAGCAGCTGACCCTAAATGACAGCAGCAACAATAGCAACTGCAACAGCGACAGTGACAGCAACGAAATTTGCAACGATCCAGATTGCCAGCAGAACTACAACAACGGCGGCAATTGTGGCAGCAACGGCCGCAACAACAACAACAATAGCAACCAGCATAACAACAATAACAACAACAACGAGAACGGAGAAGTGGATCAACTGGAGCAGCAGGCCCATCCGTCGCGCAGCATTGAGGGCGTCACCGAGCTGGAGCTGGAGAACAGCGAAGAGTGCACGCTGAGCGTCAACGAGTTTCTATTGGAAACCGAAATGGCAGCGGCGCGAGCCAACAAGGATAATCTCTATGCCGCCTGCAGCGATGGCCAGCAACAACAGCAGCAGCGGCAACAGCAGCAGCAGCAACAGTCATGCACAGATGCCGATTGCACAGAGTGTAGCGAGCAGGCGGCTGCCTGTGCACACATTGGCCTAGAATCCGAGGAGGACGGCGAGGAGCCGAGCACCAGCACTGCAGCACGTCACAACTTCTATGATCCGCTGCTGAACCGCTATGGCAACGAGCGTAAGCTCCCATTCATTTGTCTTATCACAAAACTCTAACCAGCCTTCGCTCTTCCAGCTGATTGTTCGAATGGCGCCGTATCAGGCAACAATACACAATCCTGCAACGAGGCCTGCTGTGCATCGGGCTCGGGCTCTGGCTCTGTTGCCTCTAGAAGCCGTCGCGGACGACGACAGCAGCAACAACAACAGCAACAACAGCAGCAACAGCATGAGCAGAACTGCCTGCTAACGCCGGAGATGATGAGCAACAAGGCCTCCAAGGAGATCTACAAAGATCTCGCCAAGCAATGGGGCATCACTTGCAAAATGTCGGAGAGCTGTCGCTGCATGGACTGCCAGAGTAATTATTTCGATTGCGATTACGATGATGTAAGCATCAATTTATTTATACATATTTTCCATCTAAAATCAAATTTAATTCCCAATTTGATCTTATTCCATTTCAGAACGAACATCAGAAAACTGATGGCGGCTTGGGCGCTGGCACGCCCATGTTTATTAGCGAGGTAATGCATGGATCTGGCTGTCAGATACTGTAAAGAGTGCACTTGGTTTGTTTTTGTTTTTGTTTTTTCTATGTCGTAAGAAAAGATTGCTGAACAACAAAAATGTTAAATGTAAATGCAAATTGTTTGTTTTCAAGACGACGCCAAATGAGAGATCAATTAGGCAGAAAATTTGAGATGTTTGGCATCAAAGCAACGCAATTCGATGTTTCTTTGCACAAAACGAAGTAGAAGATTAAAATGTTGCACTGCTTAGGCTGAAATATTCAATTAAACAATTATTTATAGCCACAAATGTTGGGCTCTAAAAATTATAGAAATAACTTAAGACGACATCTAAATTCAAAAGAAAGAAAACTCATATATTTTTTCGGTGTAAAAGTATTGAAAAACATTCAATTCGGAACTGTAACTACTAAATGCATTTGGTTTTTCTTTTTCTAATTTTCTCGAAAAAAAGAAAACTTTTAAAAACCCACCTTGAAAGACAACATTTATGAATATGCTTAAATGTGTTCCATTTTTCGAGTCATTTAAAAAACACACACACGCAAAATTTTATATAAAAATATATCTAATTTGAACTCAAAAACTTTAACTTCAAAATCCGAGCTTGTCAAGAGTTTTTCACAACAATTTTCAAAAATAAAATGGTCAAATTATAAAGTAAAGCTGCTTTATATATAGACATTCATATATTGTATCAAAAAAGAGAAGTTTGTATGTATTTTTCTATACGACGAAGAATTATGTGTAGCTGGCAAATCGAAATCGAAATCGAATTAGAAATGCAAAAGTAGGCAACTGCAGCAGGCATTCCCGTGCCCTAGGAACACGTATATATAGCCATAAATATATATATATATATATATATATACCCAATATGATTATCATTATCAAGATGAAGAAGAAACCAAACTTAACCATAACTAAGCACTTTTGTGCTGCGACATTAGGATCATATTAATATATACATTAAAAAAAAATAAAAAAATAAAATAAAAATAAAAAACTGAACTAGAATTCTGCCTTATCGAGGCGAAACAAAGTTAACTCTAATTACGATATGCTGATATTTTTTAAACGAAACGCAAATGTTTAGTCTGGTCTCGTTATCCTTCATTATATTTCACTATATACAAATATAAATATACATATATTATTATTATATATTTGATTATGTTGATGCAGCGAGAAGCATTTAGAACCCTCAACCTAGGCACACACAGATTAAAATACCTTAACTATGTTCCATACTAACTAAGCAAGCGGGTTTCATTCGATTCAATTGAAATCTAAAACAAAAAAAAGAATACATTATCAAAAACCAATGCCAATTTTACTTGCATTACTCGCACAGAAATCAAACATAAATAAATATATATAGGAATATGAAAATCGAAAAGAGAAATCGAAAAAATATTTATTTATAACTCGTAAAAATGTAAAAGTAAACAAAATCAGAAAACCCCAACTAAGTCTGTTAGCCGTTAGTTGATATGAATTAGTTAATACTTTGTTTATGTATCAATCGAACTAGACCGAAATTAAAGATTTAAAATGTATTATAAAACAAAATATACATACATAAAAACGTTCGACGAACTCAACCCGCTTGAACAAACGAGATCAAAATCCTTTAATGAAGTTCCAAAAAAAGCGCAAGCTAAAGAAATCGGATATGTAACGCAATTACGTGGTGAACGTTATATAGATTCTGATGTCTGGAACCGGGTAAGGAGTGAATGAGTATTCTGCAGTTTTTATTTATTAATTTTTTATTTCTTCTAATTTGTTATAAATATTTTATATTGAATAATATTATAATTATTGGTGAATACTATTGTTTTCTTACAAATTTTGGTAAGTAATCGGAAATCATGTTACATATAATTTAAGGTATTTAAATCAGGTGGCAATACACGTAAGATATGCAAACAAGAAATAGTGTACTATTAATCGAACTAAATCTTGGGCTTCAAGCTTTCCATGTAATTTATGTCCTCCTCGGTTTTCTGAAAAATAAATCAGAATCAGAACTTTGAGGCGTGCCAGAAAGAAAGAAAGAAAAAAAATCCATAGGCCTTACAGTGCGAAATATTTTGCCGCTATTGGCGCATAGATTTAAATAATTGACACTGGGCGAGGTCTCCCATCTTTTGCAATCCGAAGCGGGCGTGCCCTTCTTATAGACACGTGAGCCCCCAATGATGTTGTAATTGTAGTGGCAGGTCATCAAATAGCAATAGCTGCAAAAAAAAAAAAAAAAAAAAAGAATATATATAAATATATTTATATAAAATAAAAATCTACAACTAATGGAAATGGAATGTAATGCTAACCCTGTTTTCTGCATATTATTGCAGCGTTTGGCAACAGCAAAGCCGCAGCCTACCCTTGAGACTCGATCATTGACCATGAGCGCCAAGTGGCCAAAGGATTCATGATACCTGCAAGAAAATTGCAGTTAATTAGTGCTCAAATTTGACTTGGCGATTCACAAATCTAATACAAGGCAATATTGAGCTTAGTCACAAACGATTTGGGGCTTGGACACGTCTTATATTCATGGAACATTTCCCTGAGTGTTAAGTCCAGCAATACGGTCAGATTGATATGCTTTGTGTTTGCGATCACCATACTCAAACTTTCGCCGACAAGTGGAAAACGCTTTACTGCACGGCATTTCGAATGCCTAAAGGATAAGGTGGTAACATGCCTACGCGCCATGTACGCCAGCTCCAAGTCCCAGACGAGCTCCTGCATGCTACCGCCAGGCGGAAAATATTCTTTAAATTTATTTTTCACGGTGCCAGAGGCTATAGCATCACGAAATTCGTTATGATATTGTATTATACGCTCTCGCAATAGGTACGTGTCCGGTATGGCGACCACCAGACTGATATTGTCGTGGATTGGTTTCTACAAAAATTCGAAAACAAGATTGACTAACAATTTCAATTCTTGAATGATCTCAGATCCCTCTACCATCTCCGTGTTGAGGCGACACATGAAGTGCTTCGATTGGGCCAACTCACAGTAGCCCTGCTTATTATTGCAGAAATTAAAGGCGCGGGCTTGCTGCAGAATCAACAGCAGCAGCAATCGCAGCAGCCGTAAAGCAAGAATCTTCATTAGAAATTTGAAGAAAATACTTAGTAAATATGGTTAAAAAAAAAAAAATTCGGTACTATAAAAATTTTAATTTTTTGGAATTATTATGTAAGTGAAAAAATATTGAATAACTATGCTAAGATATAATGTTTTTATGTATACCCTGGCAATGGAGATGCCCGCATTTCCGGAAGACTGGCGCAAAGTTGGATGCACTATAGAGTGCTTGCTAAAGGGGGGAATTCTGAGATAAATAAATGAATAAATTTTGCTACATTAATACATTGAGTTTTAAAAAACATTTAAAAATTATGCGCAAAATCGATGTTTGTGAAATATTTCAATTTATTTTTTGAAAAATTCAGTGTTTTTTTAGTATTTATTGCTGGGATTTGTAGGAAGATTTTTGCCTATAAATTCATATATTTTGTTTTAGTGTTCAATATAATTTGTATGTAGTTTGTTTTTAACATTTTCATTAAAAATTTTTTTTTTTTTAAAGTTAGTATTTTAGCAAAGTTGAAAATCGAATTTTGTAACGGTTGATTGTATTCGGTTTTTGCCTTTTCTTTTAAATATTTCTTTTCATTTTCATTTCTTTTTTCTGCTAATATCAACTGATATAATTTGAACTACATATCGTCTATTTGCCGGGCGCATTAAATTAACAACGAATCAAAATAAATCACTGACTTTTGCTACTTAGTACAACGACTAAACAAAAGGTACATTATTTTCCTCCATTTTTCCATCTTTTGCTTTTATAAAAAATATGATTTTTTTTTTGTTTTGCTTAAAGGTTTATTTAACATTTTTTTTCTTAGCAACAATTAACAAACAAATTAAATTTATTCTTTTATTTGTATTGCGTTGGGCGTTGGGTGGGCAAAAACCAAAGATTTTATGGTACTATACATTATATATCTAGAGCAGGTATATATATATTTGTATATATATACACGTATGTATAGTTGCTGTCTCTCACTCTTATTGCATATAATATTTATGTATGTTTTTCAAGGAGCTGCTAATAAAATAGAAGTTTAAAACGTTTTCAGTACTACTTGTAATTTCATTTTTGCGGATTTTTCCATATTGGTTTAGCTCGTTCAAGTTGAATTGATTATATTGTATAATTAGTAAAGGTATTTATGAAAAGTTAGTCTATTATACAATAAATATATATATATACGCATAATAAATATACTTTGCTTTCCCAATATACATATATATATATTTGTTGTATATAATAAATGTAATTTGGCATAAACCACAAAATTTACAAAGTTTTTTCTAAGGTTCATTCAGACACACTCTCACGCACCTCTATTCCGTAACTACTTATATTTAGTTAGTATTAAATACACACTCACACCCACACACACATACATACGTCTTATACCAGGTGTAGGCACATCATTTGCAACAAAAACCGCGACGCCCACAACAAATGGAAACAAATCTACAATCTAATTAAAGCATGTGTACACAAGTCTAATCGAGAACTTAAAATTGTAATCGATAATAATAATGTTCATAATATTACTTATATATAGATAACATATGTGTAATGTATTTAATTCGTATGCATGTATATATATACAAAATGCTGGGGATTGTGATTGAAAACGTAGTTGCTATAAGACTAGAGAACTTTCTATAAACATGCACACAGTTTTGCAATGACGAATTTCGTATAAAAAATATATAAGTTCTATATGTAGTTGTATATATCCAAAACTTCTTCCATATATCACTTGCGTGGTGTACAGTTTTCATACATATACATATATCAATGTATATAACGGATATATATATATATACATATACATATTCATATTGTTGCATAGCTTAGACACAGGTCGAGGATGCATGAGACACGTTCGCGGCCGCCTCCAGATTAAAGTCCTTACTGCGACAGCACATCTCGCAGATGCGTTTGGTGTCAGGATTCAGAAACGTGCAGAAGCGACAGCTCCACTCATTGGGACTGGTCACAATCAGCTGCGTGGACACCGGCGGCGGATGCTTGGCCACAGCGCCTGTTGCACTGTTCCGTCCGCTGCGGGTGCTACCACCTGGCCGATTGTCTATGGTGGCTGTCTTTAAAGCGGATTTGATCTTCTTGACGCCTGGCGTGCTGCTGTTCGGCGCGGGCGCAGGGGCCGCCGCTTGGACAACACGCGGCTCACGCTTCTTCTCCAGCGTGCGTGATTTCTCCGCTGGCCCCGCAGCGGCGGCCTGTGTGTGGGTGTCGGTGCGCCGCTTATCGGAAGATCCACCACCACCGCCGCCGTTGGCCAAAGTTAGCGAATCCAAATCCAAACTCTGCACAAGCAAATCCTCACGATCACCCAAATCCTTGGAGTAACCGGAACGTTCAAGATTCTTGAACACATAATTCCAGGACTCAAAGCTGCCAACGCCCTCCTGAACCTTAGGCATCAACGGCGGCGATGACGCGTTACTGAGAACCGTAAAGTCATCCATGCTGGGCGATTCGTAGCTGGTGGTGCCATCGGAGACTTGCAGATCCCGCTCCCGCGCATGCTGACGTCCATCTGCGGCACCGGCGGTCAGACTCATGCGTTCCCTTAATTCCTTGTGCATTGTTTTGCGATTATTGTCCAGCGAATCCTAAAACGGAAGACAAATTAGTGTCGAATATAAAAATGGTCGTGCTTGCTTTCCAGCTAACAACAAGCTGCGTATACGTATTTGATTTCTATTCTCATTTACCATCATTGGCTCCCGATGTCTGTCCGTTGATTTGTCGACCGACTCCGCCTGATTGCGTATCCGGCTGCTCTTAGGTATGGGTCGTGCATACACATACATGTCCTGTGGCGGTGGCTGGGGCAACGTGGTGGGCAGCATCGCTGGCACCTCGTAGCCCCCAGCATAGCCCATAGACATAACATCCCGTGGCTGGGCATACATGGCGTTACTCAGTATGCCATGCTTAGCTGTCTGTGCCCGCTGCCCTCTGCGGTCATAGAGCCGCGGATCATTGAAGTCGTGCTGCATCAGCTGCGCCCGCTCATCAAAGTCAATCAGATGATCCGGCGGATATGTGCTCTGCCTATGCTGCATGGCGGCCAAAGCGGCAGCAGTGTTTGGCTGATGTCTAGGCGGCCCACCGTGGTAGCCACAGCTATGGGGCACCGATGCCATTGGCTTGCTGGCTATGCTCGCATACATATTCACATTGCTCGGCTCCGCATTGGCATAGGTGTCCAGGGGCGTGGCATAGGGCGCATTCAACTGACTGGAGATGTTGTAGGGCAGCGGATAGCGATTGCCTGGAGCATTGTAGGCGCCAGCAACAGCTGCATACGAGGCGCTACTGCCCAAGCTGAGCCCATCCAGGCAATCGTAAGGCGTCTCATACAAATGCCCGTGCTGCGCATGCAGTGCAGCGCACTCCTTGGGATGCTGATCAAACGAATGACGATGCGGTAACGTCGCATGCGGCTCCTGATAGTGCTCCAAGCTGCGCGAATGCGTCATCAATGCCCCCTGCGGCTGTTGATACATATAATTGAGATTCGTGGGCGGGATTGATTGGTGGATGGGCGCATGCAAGGCACAGCTATTCGTATTGCTATTGCTGGGTCCATGCAGCGCACAGGGAGCGGGCGGGGCAGTCAGCTTCTCAGCCGAACAGTTGTCGCAGAGATTAGGCGCAATATTGCTATAGGTATTCTCAGTATTAAGTTGCTGCTGTTGCTGTTGCTGGAGTTGCAACTGCTGCTGCTGCTGTTGCTGTTGCCCTTTGCGCAGCCGCTTCTCGTGCAGTCTATAGGCCATTTCCTTAATGGTTTGTGTTGGGCCGCCCACATGCCTTTCCCGATAGTGGAAGATATCCTGCCAAGTGCAGTTGAAACCCTCGGCGCTCAGTCCCGCATAAATGTGTTTCATTATCTGGCACTCCACATAGGCGGCCATCGCATCGCGACTGACATTTGTCACCTGGTCGGGACAAATGGGTCCCTCCAGCACAAACGTGTCCTCGGCAACGCGACGATAGCCCATGGCCAGGAACAAGCGTTCAGCATCGATCAAATTCGCTTCCACCTCATGCTGATACGAACCGGAGTAGGTCTGTAAAAAGAAAGAGAAACTCGATTAGATTTGATAACTCTTGGCATATGCTGCATGGGCTTACCTTGAGCGTGCGAAATTCCTTGCGCCAGGGCTTGGTGAACAAGTTGTTGGCATATTGACTGATGGCCTCGAAGCCAACAATACCATTTTGTGCGGTGAAATTAGGGAGTTCGAGAACTGTTCTACGCAGCACATGCCCCGTTTCCGGCAAAAAGAATTTGCGATCATGCGGCACCAGGCTAAGGCACTCCTTCAGGCAAGCTATACCAAAGATAAACACAATTTTAGTATGCTGCAAAGTGAAATTGTTCTCTGTAGAGAGAAAGATAACTTTTCTCTCGTACAATTCGAAAACATTTCAGATTTACTCACCCTCAACCTTTTTTCGTTGCTCCAATTTCTGTGGGCTCTCCTCGGTTTCAAGAAACGTCCAGTGGCGGCTCAGTATCTCTTCCCATAAATCGCCGGGCACAAAATCGGACATTGTGGCGTGGCGTGACATGCAGCAACGCCAAGGACACTCATTCAATGCAACGGATGCTCCTGCAAGCCAAAAAGTGAGAAAAGCCAAGGGAAAACAATGAAATTGTGTGACGAACACATAAATACGAGTATGTAATACTCTACAAAATATATATAAATAGAATATACATATAAAAAATTTTTTAAACTGGAATTTATAATTTAATAAAAAAAAAAGTAAAAACTTAAAAACATTTAAAATCTAGCTTTAAAGCGAATGGTCGGAATCTAATCTAATATATATATATATATATATTTCCTATGGGACAACAAGATTTCTGTTATCAAATGGACTTTAAAAGCTGAGTAAATAAAACAGACAGACAGACAGATAAACAAATATACAGACAGATTTGTTAAAACTGAAATTTCATAAATATATTTCTTTCTAGTAAATTTGGAATATCTTACACACGTTACAAGTTTCATGACGTAACTTTGATAGCCCCCTCTCTGCCTAACCGTCCGTTCATAAAAATGAATTCAAGGCTGCATCTTCAAAGCAAGACTTTTATTGATTTTAAAAGCGAATGCTCTTAACAGCTAAAAATTACGAGCAACTGCACATTATATATGTATATCTCTATAAATATATATATGTATGTTTGTTGGACTAAAGCCCAATTCAGAGACCCCACTTCAATTGGCCCAGTCGAAATGCAGAATCTGCCCGAATGGCTGGCATATGAATCACTAGCAAACGTATGGACAGAGAACAAAAATCGCCATCCGGTATGACGCACGTTCAAGCTATCAGAACAAGATACAACAATATATATGTATATATAAGTATATATTCATATATATGCATTTATATATATATACATATATACCCATATTTATTGAACAACAACAAAAACAATATCAACGAACGCTGATAGAGTAAACAATGGCAACATGTTTGCTAGCTGTTGCCCGCCTTTGACTATGGCAGCCACATCGATAATGACTGTTAGTTAATACTTATCAAGAGACTTTACCAGCACCAGCAGCACCAACCACTCAACCATCCAACTACTCACCGCAAACCGAGCAGAGGGAAAACAGCTGAGGACCGGCATGTGCAATCTACGATTAGATTCGCTTACCAAACCCAATATCAACAACACCAACACAACAGCTTGGTAAATCAATAAAGCGTTTGCTTAATTGTTCTATACATACATATACACATACACATACATATGTATATATAGCTAAGAAGCTGCAATTCGCAATTGGGTTAGCCTGAGTAAATCGATGAATAAATAATTTTATGCCGATTTGGATACAAGCAAAACAGCTTAGCGAATATCTATAATATAATTCACATCTACAACAAAATTGGGAGGCGTCATAAAAAGGGGGGGAATTCCACAGTATTGACAGCATTGAAAAACCTGAATACTGCATTATTGTTTTAGCAATAATGAATGAAATACTGAAATTTCTCAATTACTTAAAGGCATCCAGTCAGGTGGCATATGGTATACAATTTAAATTTCCAGGGTATTTGCAGGTGTGTGTATCACTAAATGCGTTTCAACAGACAAAGCTGCTCAGCTTTGCACAGCTGCTTGAATAGCTGATAACTGTTTTAAAAGTTTATTAGTCACCCGGTAGCAAAAAAAAAAAAAAAAAGAAATAAAAAATATGCAACAACAATCTGCATATTTCATTTGCAAATGGTGTCTTGACTTGAACTCGGGACGGGTGGAAAGGGGGCGGCTGAAGAACCGTAAAAGTTGGCACTGCATTTGCACGGTGACAAATTCAATTTAAAGCGAACGAAATAGAGCGTGACTAGATGAAGAGTGAACGCTAGATTCGGAGTTGTGAAACACTTTGGAGCTTTAAGGCTCTGCTGAAATCTTATTAGCTTCAGCAACTGTCCTGCAGCAAGAGGTTTCTTTCTTTCTTGTTTGGCTTGTTCTCTAGTGGAACTGCCACTGTACTTAACGCACTTTTAATTAAATGAAGCCACAAAGTTGATTGGCAGCTAAAATGCCTGTCAAAGTTGGCTGCACATTTTATAAGTCGCTGAGACAAAACAAGAAAAAAGAAAACAATGCAACTTTTAATTTGTATATTTTATGAGGCCAAGCCGAGTGCCGTCAAAGAGCGAAAGAGACAGCGAAAGGGCAATGGTTGCAACTTGAAACGTGAGATGGGTAAAAAGTAAACAACAACAAAAAAGAAAAACTGTAGAAAGTGAACGGTACAACGCTTGAGCGTGTAGGATCGAGCGAGAGGGGTATAGAGTGAGCGCAAACAATCGTCAAAGGTAGAAAAACACGCACACAACAGCAGCAGTAGCAGCAGTAGCGCAGCAGCAGTAAGAGCAACAGCTAACAGCAACTGCAGAAGCAAAGATGGTAACAAAAGCCTTTGAAGTAACACTGTAAAGCCAAGTGAATGCTGCACAAAACGACACCAGCAACAATAAGAAACAGCCCAAAGACTGCAGCAGTGCTGAACAACGCAGCAAAAAATCAATAAAAACCAAATGAAGTGCAAAACGAGCACAATAACAAAAAATTTTAAGACAAACACAAATACACATGTATACACACTCTCACAAACAACGGACTGATCAGCTAGCAAGCTTGAAAGTCATGAACTGTAAATTTCTCTCTCTCTCTCTCCCACTCTCTTACTTTTAAGCTCAGCCTGAGCTTTTATGGCTGTGCGTAAATAAAGAAACTACGCGCCGTATACTCTCAATAATGGGAGTGGGAGACACACAACTAGCAGAAGCTCTAACTGCGCCGTTAACAGTAAACAACGCAGCAATGTTATTTTTCTTGTCTCTCAGCATTTCACATGCGAGTGCAAATTAACATTAATTAGCAACCCACACATTGACATTGACAGCATTCAGGGTGAATATCGTTGGTATTCGTGTAAAATTTAAAAATATTCTTATTGGAATTACAAATCACTTCAGAGCACTCAGATTATTGGGCATTTATTGATTTTGACAATTTGACCTAAGCAAGTGCATGTGTATGTGTGTTCGCATTATTCACATTTACGTATATATTAAAGTATTTTTTTTCTTTCAATTTTACTGTTGCGAGCATTTGGCGCAACAGTTTAAAGCACTTTTCTTGGCAAGGTGACAAAAATTGCGTGAATATACGTATGTGTATGTGAAAATGTGTGTGTCCGTGTATGACCCGTTAGTTCGTAGCCGGCAAAGTCTACGGCAGGGTGCTCCAATTCTTATTTTCAGCCCAACACTTGCAACACTAAATTTAGCAAAGCGCACATATTCACACACACATTCACAGCATCACAGAAAAACTTACAGATAAAAACCGGAAATAAACTTACAGAAATTCCTCATCGTTGTTATTGTAATTGTTGTTTCCCTGTTTAATAATTTTGTGCATCTGCATCGCTCTTAAAGTCAAACTCACACTAAGGTCCACTAAGGTTGCCGAATTAAGTGCGTGTTTTTTTTTTGGCGTGGGTGGTTAAACGTCTATTTTTAGCACACGAGAGTAGCAAAGCAAAGCAAAACGACGTGCGAAACGCGAACAGCGAATGAACGGAGGAATGCTTCCGCTTGTTGTTATTGTTTTAACACCAGCTGCACACTTATCGATTCTGTTTGACTTGTAATGACCACTATTCGCTTATTCACTTCAACACCGAATGCGTGTACGTATTAACTGACGCATTTTCCATTAACATTAATTTACACTTTGTCACACACATATATTTCGTATCATTATTATTATTATTATGCGCTGCGTTGTGTTCGTGTCATTTTCACAGCAAACTAAACTTGGTTGCTTAACAGCACTGATTTCTTACCACCTTACAGCACTTACACTATCGATTAATTTCAGCTTACGTAATCGATATCTCAGTGACTAGGGCTGCATTAATAACACGCGCTCTGCTAAAACCGTAAACACGAGATGGATTTTGATCTGGGCTTCGCCGAGGAGCCAAATAACGCAGCATGGCTAAGTAATCGCTACTTTCCCAGCAAATTAGGCGGCCAGCCGGCGTGGCTAGAATTGGACACGCTGCCAAGTGTAGCACAGCTGCAGTGCAAACAGTGTCACTCACAAAAAGCATTTCTTTGTCAACTCTATGCGGCTTTCGAGGATGAGTATAATTTCCATCGCAGCATTTACGTTTTTCTGTGCAGAAATGCCGAATGCCAGCGGACTAACAACGCTGAGTATGTATGGATAAATACTAAAATATGTATGGATTTAAAAATTTCTATTATGTTCGGCCAGAAATTTCACAGTTCTGCGTTCACAGCTGCCGTTGAAGAATAAATTCTACTCAGAGGAAGAGCCTTCGGAGGATGGTGAGCCCTTGGTGAGAGGAGAATACGTTTCTCCATTTTAGCCCATTCTTATAAATGTTCCCCATGCTTGCAGCCGGCTATAGCCAGCTCACGGAAACTTTGCGCTGCTTGTGGTTGCTTGGCCCCGCTTGCCTGCAGCCGGTGCAAAAACATCAACTACTGTTCCAGCTCCCATCAGCGCGCGCACTGGAAGCAACACAAACCGAGCTGTGCCACTGGGCAGTCAGCACAGCCCTCCGCACCGCTTTCAGAGATTGAATTTCCCCTATACGAAATAGTCATGGAGCGCGAATCAACAAGTGAATCAGCTGTGAAGGATGAACAGGCTTGCCTGGCCGAGTACGAGGAGCTCTCAGCTAGAGGTCAAACGGGCGAACTTCGTGATGTAACCGAAAAGGAGCTGGACAAATACTTTGGCAATGCAGCTGCAATAGAAGATAAAGCCTTTCAAAGCTTTAAGAAACGAATTGCAGCCGAGCCCGAGCAGATCGTGCGTTACAAACGTGGAGGCGAACCACTGTGGATAGCCAACGTGAAGGACACGATTGAAAGCCAGCTGCAGGAGCTGCCCAATTGCTCGCATTGCGGTGGTCCACGTCAATTTGAATTCCAGCTCATGCCACAAATGTTGACGCTGCTCAAGGACGAAAACCTGGATTGGGGCGTTCTGGCCATATATACCTGTGCGAGTAGTTGTCCCATCAGCGGCTACGTGGAGGAGCATCTAATCAAACAGGATATAGTGGTAGCAGTACCAGCAGCAGAATAAGTGGCTTAAGCTGTTTGGGTTACAGTCTCTGCTGTATGTATACAAACCAATTTTATTTGTTAAAGGACGAAACAAAATGTAAGAATGAAAAGAGAAATACGGCGACGATCTAAGACAACTAACATGATTACGAATCGATCGATGCTCACTGGCTACTTTAGTTTGATAATGGGAAAATAGCTATGCTTGCTGAAATCGAACTCTGGCTGACGCTTCAGCTCTTTCTGGTGACCACGGGCGAGCACATTCATAACGACGAAATTTGTGCGAGCTATTTGCAGCAGGTCCAGGATCTACAAAGAAAATGTAATGATGCCAATCAGATAAAATAGTTAAAATCTTCTCCAGCTCTTACCTCCTGCTCTGGATTCTGTATGCTCTCCAGCACATTGCGTGCCTGATCGAAGTGCTTGGCCGCAAAGCTGTACAGCTCCTCGACGCTGTTGAGCATCATATGATCGCGTATATTCTTAAACTCAGCATAGGATACGGGCGGCGGACTGGTCAGCGGCACAAAGGGCGCGAAGCGTCGATTATAGCGTATCTCCTCATTGTCAAACTTTGACATGGGCAGACGCACACGTCCGTCTTTGGTTAGGGCGCCCATCGCTTTGTACATGCCGCCGCACAGGCTGAGCAGGGCGTGATAATAGACAATTTCCTGACGATAAGGTCGTTGTTGCTTCTTGTTCTTCTTGGGCTTCGCGGCTTTGCGATTCTTGCCGCCTGGGCCGCTATTGCCGCCATTTACTTGAATTCTGCTTTGATGCTCGGCATATTCCTCCTGTGCTAGCAATATATTCTCGGTGCGCGTCAACGCCGAAACCAGAAATCCGATTAGGAACTCATAGGGATACCAATAGATGTAGAGAAACTCGTGCACGGCATACAGCTCCAACTCAAAGCCGGACATCAAATAGATGAGCATTGCACGAAAACAGTTGTAGAGCACCCAGGTGGAGAAGTGAGTGCTATGCTTCAGCGCCGTTGCATGCGACTCGTTACCTTCCATGGCACGATCGTTGGCCATCTGATTCATCAGCGAATCCAATCGTGCCGCATCTACCTGCAGCGGATCGAAGTTCTCAATCAGGTGCGCCAGCTTATCGCGCTGTCGAGCACGATTAAAGCCGCAAAGACGTATAAATTGATTGAAGGTTTTCATGTTGATGCAATAGCGAAAGAAGGTTTCTAAATGCTGCTGCACCTTGGGATCGTTGGCCACCGGGTGCTTGGGGTTCAGTACAGGAGGTGAATTGAAGGCCTGCACCGAATGCCTCAAGAATTGTTTCATCGACTGTTTGCCATGGGCCAAGAGGATGCTCGAGTTGAAGAGGCTCTGCAGCACGCTGCGTGAGAGAATGCAGTGTCCCGACTTACGGCTGTATTCAATAAAGAAGTTCTAGAAGCAAAGAAACAAATTAATATAGATGCCTAAGTAATTCTCTCCTGATTGTTGTTACCAGCGCTGAGTAGTAGTCCTTGTACCTGATCACTTTGCAGGCGTACTTAAAGCGCGCCACCATCTCCTCCAGAAACTGATAGCTGGCGGGACGCTCGCGTATTTTGATGCTGCGTGGAAACGTAGGCGGCTGGCTTCTGTCATGTATGCGCGGCGAGAAGCCCATGGGATTGGGAGCCTCAGCTGAAAGTGTTTCGAAGAGATTCACACACTATTCACTGTTATAGAGACCCGGATACTTACAACCCTCCACGGGCTGTGTGCCACGATCGATGGTGCGCTTGATGAGCGGCAGCAGCTCGGAAGCCACATTGAGATTCTTATAAATCTCATTGACTGCCTCCTCGGCACTGTCGGCGCCCGGCATCAGCTCCACCTGGTAGATGGCTTGAAATAAATGGCGCATGAAGCGCAATCGATGCACCACAGCCATCAGATTTTGATTCTCAGTGGACGTCAGTTGCTTGCACTTGCGCACCAGCTCATCCTCCACCTCCTTCAATAGACCGGCAATCGTAGAGGGCTGTGCTTTTTCCGCTGCCAGCAGCGCCGAATTGCCATACAATTGAAAGTCCTCTTCCTCGTTAACGGCAGCCAGTATGATGATGTTCTTAATGACCACGATGAGATTACGCACAGCGGTGCAGAAGACGCGCAGCGCCTTATCCTGAATCTGTGACGGGGCATGCAGATAGAGGCAGGTGAAGATCACTTGATCCATTGAATTGCCCTCCAGCCAAGAGACCAAGCAGGCAAAAAGCGCATCAAAAATGCCAATCAGCTCGGCCGGCTCCAAGCCGTCCAGCTTAATAGCACCCATCTGAAATGTAGAGAAGAACTATGCTGAGAATCCCTCCACAGGCATTTCCCACTCACCGCTACGGCAGCTTCAAAAGAGGGCGGAGGCAAATCGAATTTATCGAAGCCCATGCCCACATCCATCTTGGGATCCATTATCTCTATCGCAGACATAGCCTCAAATAAACCGAAGAGCATATCCTGGGCCAGCTCGCCGGGCAACAGCTCGGAGCACGCATCGTGGAACTCATCCGTCACGTCCACCCAACCATGTATGGGATATTGTGTAATGTCTTCGGCGGCGCTGCCGCCGCGTATTGCACGTTGTACTTCGCTGTCCCCAAATCCACATTCACTCATGCTCCATTCGTCGGGATCGTTGCTATTTTGCTCCCGTTCCATGTCTCGCTGCTCAGCTGTTGTGCGCATTGAAGAGACAGAGGCAGAGGCAGCGGCTGCGGCAGCTGCTGCTGCTGCTGCGGCGGTCGCTGCCTGAAAATCTGTTGGCTGCTCGCTGGCGTAAGTCCCGTGCATTGTCCTTTATCGCCCAGGTGCTTGGCAAATTGTTGCTTCTGTTTATTGCTATTACTTTTTGTGTTATGAATCGTCTTTTACGTTTTTCGTGCCGTGCATCTAAGATTTGTGTTAGTGCTGTAAGGCGCAGCGCAGAGCACAGAGTACTTACCTATGCGCACTTGACAGCACTGTGTTTGCTTGGCGCCAAACACGTTACAAATTCAAAGAATATGTAAAAATAAATAAAAACTATTGAAAACAGTTTAGAAGCATACTAATAAAATATGATTCCAACAATAGTGTTTTTACATTAGGTAAACACTCTAACACAACTTCTAATGTTATTTTCTCTTTTTCGCATTTGTGCCCAGCTTCTAATATTTTTCTCATTGTGAACGGCAGTGTTGATAAAGAGTACATAAAGTGCACAGCAGTTGTCAAGTGTATTTAACAGCACTATAACGGCGCCAAACTGAATTCAAATTCAAAGCACATGTAAAATCGAATCAAGCGCGTTTACAAACTGTCTAAAAGCATGCTACATAAATTAACTCGCTATAATGTGAATAAATATTATTGCATAATATTTATTGAAATTATATTATATATTTGTATTATTGTTATATATTTATTAATATTTGTATTTTTTATTAAACAAGTTATCCCATTTATGGCAAAAATTACCATGAATTAGATATATTTATATATATATATATATATATATATATATATATATTTTTTTTTTTTTTTTTTTTTTTTTTTTTAATATATAGAGTATAGACTGTTATCTCATGCAGTCATTAAGTAATCCATATGAATGAATTGTGAATGCAGCAATATTTTTTTAACACGTTTCGTTTTAAAATAATAATGCTGACTACGCAAAATATATATCTACAATATATGGGTATGATTAATTTGGCTGACAAGCCATAGCTAACAATATTGCTCCATAACATTTTCGGCTGATAAGAAATTAAAACTGCCCCCAGTTACTGCTGAGTACTTGCTCAACCATTGTTATCGCAAACATTTTGTATTTACTCAAATGCCATATGTGAAAAGCGACTAGCGCTGCCTTATCAAATGCCCTCAACTGTTATCGGTCGCGCTCCAATTTGAGTGGAAAGTGAGAAAGCTCGCTCAGAGCCCTGTCTGGCTCTCGCTCTCGCACGCACGCCCTCTCTCTTTCTCTCTCGCATCAACAGTGCGCTTTAGTTTGTCTCCACAATTTGGGGGTTGGCCGTGAGTTGAGTGCTTCGAATGCCCAAATAACGGCAGAATTGAGTGGCGCAAAAGCATTTCACCAATGCGAGGGGTTGTATTAGTTTGTTTACAACAATTTAGTTTCAGTATCAAATGCGTTGCCCTCGTGGTTAAAGCGCGCTAACGGTCAACTCAAAGCAAAATAATAAAGAGAAACGCTCACAGATTATATCGCACAGGGCGCACAAATTTGAAAGAAACACGACACAACAAAACATAAACGTAAATCAAACACGAAGTGCCAAGTTCCTCAACTACTAACTGCTCGAGTTGACTTCAAGGAAGAAGGCGACCCGATTTATTAGCCAACGCGTAAGTCCTTTAACCCACTTCAAATAATATGTTTTTAATTTATGTATATGGCTCATAAGGCAAATGTTCTTTTGTTTTAGCTTATTTTTTTTTTTTACTGTACTTTGTGTTTTACAATTTATTGCCATGTGTTTAGCTGTCTGTGTTGCTTTGACAAGTTGGAAAGCAAAACAAAAATCAAAACCTCAAAGAAAAATAAACAAAATCAAATAGATGTATATATTCAAAAGAAAAAGAAAATAAAAATACCCGAAGCACAACTTGATTAAATACGGCAAGAAACAAAAATTACGAGACTTTTTGGCAAGCGACCAAATCAAATTATAAAAAAAATTGTCTGACCCTATAAATACTATATATGTGTATATATATATTTATATATAAATATACCGCGACGAGTGAACCAGAACAAAATACTATATAAATTTTCACTTAAGCATATGCCACACATTAAATAGTTATAATATATGCTAATTCTTTATAGTTTTTATCGTTGGCCAGTCTAGACCCAAGCTTATTTCGCAAATATGTTGAGAATTTATTGTTTCAAAATTTTTGAGATATTTCAAAGTGCTTGACCTGAAGAAACACTTTTGTTCTTGTTCAGAATGTTTTAGTAAATAGAATTTGTTTTTAAAAAATATAGTGATAAATAATAACCTGGGGATTTAGTTATACTGAAGCAAAATAAATATAAATATATATATATTATATTTTATATATTAAAAGTAAAATTTTTACATCACAATAAAGGTTTTATGTTTTTTCTTTTAGCTAGCT